GGCAGAGCATATGCCAAACATGCATTTGGTGAAACAAGCATTTTTGCAATTCTATAAATTTGAGAAGCCTCTGGTTGTTCATGTAGGTATTTATCCATTCATGCATCCAAGATCCGTGGGCATTGGGTAAATAATTGCAAATTTACATGTACAATGCTGCATGAGACAACAGCTCTTTGGAGCTCTCTCTTACCAAATCTAATAGTGGATTGCTGTTGAAAATATTTGCAGAATTCGGTTCATGTTAAAAAAGAGTTTCCCAGCCAAGCAGCCAAATGAAGCATAAAGCTGGAACATGATTCTTCCAAGCTTCAGGGCAATTCATTCTTTCCATTAAAATTTCTTTTTAAGCAACCTTTAAAACTACCATTGAAGATTTATCTACAAACTTTATGGCGACAAGTAAACTTCTAAATTGAAAGCACAAAATTTCTCTAAAACATGTGGTGAGAGGACATTGTTATCTAATGACAACAGTTGTGCAAGATTTACAAAGCTATACCCTCTTCACCTGATGCTGGTGACCGACTCAAAGTGGAACATGGCTGCATATCCTCTTGCAGTCTAGCTAGAAACCTAGTATTTTACAAAAATATACAAAGAAGACATTCTTCACAAACTAAACTTAAGATAAAAAGGCAAGGATAAAAACAAAACATAGTGTAAGGGTTTGAAATGCCTGTTCGGTTTTGTTCTTTTCTTCTTCTTTGATATATGGAAGAAAACAAAAGTATCATCAAACAACACTGGATGCATCAAATTGCCTAAAAAGTATAGCATGACAAGAAATTAAAAAAAACAGGCAATTTAATCAGAACAAGGGGGGAATACCTTCACCCTATAGCCACGTTCCATCAGTCTTTTGGCCATATCAGCTTTCATTTCCAAGTCTCTTTGTTCCTGAAAAGAGCAGTATAAACTCAAAGGTGAAATACAATTTTTGCTTTATCCGCTACATTGCATTGCATGAGCTTGTCCATTTATTCAGTTTGTAATATGGCCTTGCCAACTCTTAGAAGTCATTAGCACATGCACCTGAAACTACTTGGTATCCAAAAGTTGCAGTATGACAAGTAGAAATTTGTCTTGACCAAGCATCCTGTATCTTTCAGATAACAGGTAAACATACAGAGCTAACAACACAAAACATAATATAATCTAAAATTGATCGGGCCAAAATTCAAACCATTAATATAAATTACCAAATATCCATTTGAATATATATCAGGATCACTCGGTGCAATGATGAATATCTTAGGGTTGAAACTACAGGGATGCAGGTTTGAATCTTTTAAGCAGCATTCAGTCATTACAAAAATGTTGAATGGTAGGAAAATGTAAAATTTTTCCAAATAGGCCACTGCCTCGAATGAAAGATAACTAGGTAATGACCCTAGTTCAGAACTTGCTGAGAACTGTTCCAATGTTGGTTAGTGGGTTAACAAATGATTTGTCCATGAAGCAACAAACTTACAGTTTTTGCAGCAAATCGAACTTCCTTGTGATCTCCTTTGCGTAGAGTTTCCCCTGCCTGCAAAGTAATTGAATGGCACAAAGCCATAGCTATTCAGTGAACACTCAAGCCAAAATTGGATGGCACAAACATAGTAGAGCTATACTCAAAGTAAGAGCATTTCCAATGACCTCATTCCAACAAGACTGAAAATGAAGAAATAATTTAAAAATACACCATACCTTGCTTTTAGAACGTTCCTTTTCCTTCAGTTCTTTTTTGTACTTCTCTCGGTTAAAGTTCAAGAGTTTACAGACAGGTGGATTGGCATTTCTTTGAACCTATATAAAACTCAAAAGGGGAAAACAAGGAGATGAGCCTCATAGAAGGCACACTGGAAGAAACCAAAATAGATTTTTGCTAATTTTTGTTGAATGGGACTTCTGTTGGCTACTTCTTACTTTCCTAATTGAGAACAGATATCACCATCTATATCTCTTCACAAAAGTCAACATTAAACAAAATGAAAACTGATACAGTTGTATATACAAGGCAAGCATGAAAAATTGAAGCTATTTCACAAAAAAAATAAATCTTTCCATTAAAACAAGGATCAACTTGCAGTGATCCAGTTTTTTTTATGGTTTTCGCTTAACAATTTCTTCAAGCATCAACCAAGGATATTCAGAATGAAAATAGAATGGTGATAAATTGCAAAAGCTTACCTCAACTAAATCAAGTTCAAGTCTTTTTGCTCGTTCTAGTGCTTCACGCAATGAGAGAACACTATGACCTGCAAACATCCATAACTTCAACTGATTTTTATATCCAAGATTTCTTTAAACTTTGGAAAACTTGATCATACCATCAAAGCAAAATCATTCATAACATGTCCAAAACAGTCATATATCAAGTGGACAAATTATACCTTCATCACTCACAAGCCTAACAATCGGCGCAGTGATTTTCTCATTTAATCTGGGCCCACTCAAAGTCTTCTCTTCCTTGTTCACTTTCGCCTGCAATTCAACAACATATCAGAATCTACTAACAACGCACAAATGTAAGCACTGAAAACTGAAGCCAAGCTGTCCAAACATAAAGATTAGAACTGCTCAATTACAGAGAAACGAGAAAGAAAAAGCAAGAACCTTAAGAACCCAGAAATTACCTGAACGGGGGCAGCAAAAAACCTGACATTGTTGCAAAATCCAGAGTGCTTTTTAATAAAATCCCAAACTGGATTCGCTAAAACAGGTGATCTTGAGCTAGTAGCAGTGTATTTAAGTGAAGAATCATATGAGATTTGAAGGTAGTATATCTTCAACTGTTTAGACAAAAAAATGAGCTTTGACTGATTAGTTCTAATCCAAAAAGCCATTTTTCTTCAAAAGAGTTGCAAGTTTGCAACTTTTTGGAGTGATAAGAGACTTTGTGTCGTGAATTAGCACTAACAATTGCAACAAAAGAAATACTAGTAACGAATTAATGAGCCCAGGGACTGATTCAAATCGGAATTTTTCGTGGTCTATCAGAAACTAGGGTTATGCAGTAAATAGTAATGAATTTATGAATTACAGCTTGGGCTGATTTTACAAATATTTATGGCCCAATTTGAGACCCAATTTTAATGGACACGGGAAAAGTTTTGGGAAACAATACAACCATATCTAACCAGGAAACAAAATTTCTTGAATAATATGATGTCGTATAAGACCCATCAGTTCAAGATAATCATTCCCTTGATTAAAATTAAAAAGATACAAAAAATGTTTAATTCTTTTTCAAGTTTGTTATTCATCAAGCAAATGATATAACATCTTTATAGCTTTTTGGAATTGTGATAATATTTTATTTTAAAAATATTTTTATTTAAAAATATATTAAAATAATTTTTTTTATTTTTTTAAAGTTATTTTTTATGTTAGTATGAATATCAAAATGATCTAAAAATATCAAGAAAAAAATAATTTATATTAAAAATACTTTTAAAATAAAAAAACATATAAATTCTTAATATTTACATGTATTTAAATTACAAATCAAATGGTCGCCTAATGATCCTAAGATTATAGCATCAAATCTTTGGTTTTAGATGACACTCTTAATGCTGGTTTCGTCACATCAAATCCATATCATCGCCTTTTCATAAAGATTTTTGAAGTCAGGAAATATCTGTTTTTCTATTTGCAAGATGTTGTGGATCTTCAGATTCAAGAATGGGTGGACCCTTCATATATATCAAGAAAATTCCCCACATTTTGCCATTGTTATATGCAATAACAAGAAAGTGCTCTGTGCCTCTCTCCTTCTAGCGCTAATCAGCTACTTACCTGTCAAGAGTGGTGTTGGTGGTGGGTTTATGCTCTTTAGCCAAATTTTGGGTAAAAAAATTGCATATATCTTAGAGATTAACTCATGGTTGGACTTGATTGAGACTCCTATACTTGAAAAAGAGAGGTCATCTAAACACAAACCTTGGCCAATATCTGGTGTCATGGGATGGAGAGCATCGCCAGCTACACAAGCATTGCCTTTACTTGTATTTCCCCATAGAACCTCCCATGGATGCCTAAACCTTGAAGGAGCTGATAATATGATGCTACCTAAATAAATTATGCTGTTGCCCTCTTCCTCTTAGGATATATTATCCAAAGCAGTGCCATTATTTTGCTCTGACAATTTTAATGTCCAAGATTAAAGCATGCTAGGCAAAAGGAATTAACACTAATGCTAGGCATAAAGAGGTACAAGAAAGGATCGATTGGAAAACATCAAAATCAAAGCAGTGTGGTTGAGGGAGGAAGACGTGAGGCAGTGAGTTGAAAACAAGTGTTTAGTATACAGATTTCTAGATAGTCTATTGGAATATGATTATTGAAAATAATATTACATTTAATATTATAAAGTTAAAACTGCCAAGAGAAATAATAAATTCGGTAGCATAATAAAGTCAATAAAATACATACTAGATTTATAAGCCTACAGTTCTTACAAAAAAGTTATAAGCCTACAATAAATCATTAAAAAGTTCAGCTATTATTAACAAATAAGTAAGAGCATGAAGTCCACCTAAAATGAAAACAGGGGGAATTAAAAATATATATACATATATATCTTCAATCATTAGGAAATGTTAGATTCATTTATTTTAAAAATGAATCACGCTGTCCAGGTTTGAAGGAATGTGATTTCTAAAACTGTTAAATTCCTTAATATTCAATATTCCATAAAAAGAAAACATAAATTTTGTTTTTTAATGACTTCTGAAAGATTGGGTGAAGCTAAACACTGATGGAATCCAGACCACCGTGCTGGTTTGCCCCTCCGCTACCATACTCTGCACCGTGATGCTGCACCAGCCGAGAGTATCCGTACGAGGCTCTTGCAGAGGGTTCATCCGCGACCATTTGGATCACTACACAATGGGGGTGACAGTTTTCTCGCATCCTCCTACAGGGCTGCAACCTCGTTGTGGGCTGAATTGGATTGGCCATGGATTTATAAATTTGTTTATAGGCAGGGCATAGGGAAAGGACAAAAAAGAGACTTGAAAGATCTTATCTGGTCTTCAAAGGGGCATACAATACGTACAAAATACAAAACAGGTCTGAATTTTTCAAATATGAAACTTCATGACGATATCATGTACATATTTCTTCCAACATCTATCTCATCTAATCTAAACAACAGTGCAACATGACAAAGCCAGAATTAACAGACGAGATGGTGAATTTGATCACCCAAATTCAGACGCTCATAATCCTATCTGCTGTCAGGAAACTTGGCCTCGTAGGCCTGGGGAACCTGCAAGTCAGTAGAATTTGTTTGCAGCATAAGTTGCATTGACAAATGAAATAACTAATATTGTAAGAAATTGAATGATTACCATGAATGTTGCAGTGATCATCTTCCCAGCAAACCATCTTCCATGGAGAGCTCGCTGTGCATTTACAGCACCTTGCATGTTCTCAAAACGCATGTAAACAAAACCGGCACTGTTCCTGTTTCTCCAACGAAAAAAGGCAGTTGTGAGAAAGAAACATGATAGAAACAAAAGACAGGATTCATCAGCTTGAATGAGTTATCACAAACAGCAAGAAATAACACGTTGAGTCAAAAAGACCTCATCGAGAGGAAGATGCTTTGATATAACAGAAGAATGCATAGACTTTAAAATAACTGACTGTTTGAAGAGGACAGGCTCAAGTCCTGCCCAGTCAAAGAGAAGAAATCACACAGCACACCTAAACAGTACTTACTTGTCGACATGTATATGCTTCACATTTCCAAACCTTGAGCATTCCTCTTGAACATCTTCTTTAATATCCAAATCAAAATCTGGTTCAGTCTGCCAAAACAAGACAGAGCCTAAGCAAAACAAAACAAAAGCTGAAAAATCAGGAAGTCTAAAAAATGAGTCCACGAACCTCTGTTTTTGGATCAAACATGTTTTTCAAGAGTAGGCAATCACTTGGGACTCCAATTGTCTCCACGGTTGGAATTGTAGTAGCAGGAAGTTGAAGACCTGCAACTGGAAGTCCAGGTATAGCCAGAACAGAACCTGATAAAAGAGGAGCAATAGCAGGAGACATCACAGGTGCAGCCCCAAGGATAGGTGCTGTTGGTAGAGTAGGGGTGCCTAGTGAACCAGTAATACTGCAAATAAAAGTTGTTGTCAAATCAATCAAATCATCAGACAATCCAATCCCAAAGCAAAAAGGCTTGACAGAGGCTAACCTTGAGGCAGTGCCAGTGCGATCTAACTTCTGCATCAAAAGTGCCCGAGAACGTGCATTCAGCGCCTGAAATTTGAAGCAAGATTAAGTATGCTTCAACATAATTGTTGGTAACCATGTACTAGAAATATAAATAGCTAGCAACATAAGATGGACTGTAAAGAGTAACAATTTTTTTGGTTTCATTTTCCATTTGCAATGACTGTTTCTTTTCCATATTCTATTTGTCACATCAAGAAACTAAGCACTTGCTGGTCCATTCAGAGAAGCAGGCCAATATCAAGAGTGCATTCTTAATCCAATAAAGCCCTCTCTTCATCAGCCAAAAAAAATATATCTTCACCACTTATCAAGAGAGACAAGTACAATTACTAACCAAGCCACCACCTTCATCATCATCAAAATCACCAACATTTGTCCCACCATCTTGTGCTCCAGCTTGATCAGTAACAGCTGACACCTGAAAAGTAAGCAAGAACATATAAATATCTAATGCAGTTAAATGACTGTATGAGATCCACCATCAATGCAGAGAGCACAAGAAGGGAAAAGTGCAATTTAGAAGAAGCATGAGATTACCTTGATTGGCCTTCCTGCAATCTCCACTTGTCCATTCAAGTTTAGTGCATTTCTAGCATCTTCAAGACGTGCAAACTGAAGCAAAAGTTAAAGCAATTAATCTCCAATTTCCAAGAGGATTCTAGTTAAGCCTATTTCAAGGCCAATTGGAAGGAAGAGCTTGGTGCAGCCCCGAAGAGAGTATCCGAGGATTGTTTAAGATACTGTTGAAATATAAAGGACTAAAGGAGCTTCATCAACAATTGTTACATCAGTTTTAAGGCCTTAGTCACGGTTTCCTTCTTAATATAGACATGCATTTGGAACTCAACTTGCAAAATTTCATTAATTATTTTTTTCAAATTCATTTTTCTTGCTGACAAAACTAACCTGGACAAAACCAAAACCTTTGCAATGCCCACTTTCATCATGAGGCAATTGCACCAATTCCACAGCACCAAATGGCTCAAACACCTGTGCAGCAAGAAAATAAGTCCAGTGAGAAATATCTGAATACTGATGTCACCTAGCAAGAACAACAGTACAATCCTAACAGGAAGGGAAAAAAATCACATGATAATGATAGTCAGCTATCATAAACACAAATTCATGAAAACTGGAATGCAGACAAAAAGTTTCTCTATGTTAACATACAATTCCCTTGATAATTTTATATATCAAGCCAATCTAAAAACAAAAAAAACAGAGAATTTGATGTTGTGAGCACGTTCTAGATAGATCAGTGCCAAAATAAACAGTAACATAAAAAGTGCTTACCTGACGAAGCTGATCTTCGGTTATGTTGAAGTGCAGGTTGCCGATATACAACCTTCTAGCCCCTCCGGTGTAGGGGCCTATAAGCCCACCCGATGCCACAGCTGTAGTTGACTGAACAAGATTCTTTTCAGCTTCAGAAGGCTTCACCATCACTGGTTGACCAAGAAGGGGCTGTCCAGAGAGTGCTATAGCCATAGGCACGGACATCGCATCATAGAACTCGATATAGCTAGAAAAAAGAGATGAGCAATATTGCAAATCACCTCATAGAACTAAATATACCTAAAAACAGGAGTAATATTGCACTTAAGTAAAACAAATGCAACAAAGGAGACTAGCATCACCATGCTAACTCGAGGCTGTTCACAAATAACTTCAAAACCAAAGTTGTTTTTGTGACCACTGCTCGCTCAAGTGAGACCTCAAACAACTAGTACAATCACTGGTAAATTGTAATTTTTTATTTACTTAACAATAATAAACACCAAAAACTCCAAGTTTTCAATTCCTTTCAAATTGATGGACCACGGTGATTAAAAAGCCAAAAGAGAAGCATGGCTCCTAGCTAGCCAAATAAAGATAAAGCAAGAGAAACACTTTACAAAACTCAGAGATGAGAATGCACAACACAGACTAATAATTGGAACCTTCGTGAAACCAAAACTAAGTCAATCTATAAGATTAAGGGAGCATTTTAAATATAACTTACCCAACTCCTTTTGATCGTCTTGAATTGCGATCCATGATGAGTCGTACATCTCGCACCTGAAAGTTGTGCTGAGCATATCAGAAACAAAAGGAAGAAAATATGCTAACTAAGCAACCAAACAGCAATCCCCTATCCAAGTAACAAGGAATTTGTGTTTGTTGCAATGAATTTTTGTTTTTTTGTCATGTACACAGCACATAAAAGTTAATTGACAAGCAATTGCTCTTATATATAAAATATTACAATGTGAACTTGATTCATATTTTTCCTCCAAATAAGAAGGAATTAGCCCCACTAAAGCTTATATGGTGAGTCCCTTCCCAAATATAAGATACCATGTATCTTTTATCATTCAGCAACAACTCCTTCACACACTATAATATAGAAGCACTCTATAGATTATGCATGATTGTCATGAGCAAAACTAGAGAACAAAAGGTATTAGCTCCAAATAAAACAGCTGTGTAAGTAATTGCTACAGAACTAACCTTGCCAGCCCTTGAGAAAAATTCATAGACATCTCTTTCATCCGCCTTCAAACATATCTGTAAAACATTTACGCCAGAATCAAAGATGGAAACCATGTGAAATGGAGTACATTACAACTAAAGCCATGGGAACACAGCGTAATTTATACCAAGCATGTCTATATCAAACCTGATAGGCAAATACTGTCCTCTGGTCTCTTTCAGGATCAACCTCAGGCTCTGTTGCTTCTTCCTTCCTTTCTTTATATCTTCTGCAAGACAGTGGAAATCAAAATTAACGATCTCAATTCTCTAACCAGTAGCAAATTGATGGGGAAAACGGCCAGTGAGTAAAACATTCATAAAGCAAATACAGACACGATGATGACTTGTCTTTCAAAAGAAAGAAGGTTTTTCTTAAGTTTGCTTTATCATTGAAGAGGTAGAAAATAATCCAAAACAATATTGAAAATGTCTCCAATAAGAGTTAAAACGCCGAACCCACAAAACACGGTCCTGCAGGCAACTGGACAAAGTTAACATGAGCGGACTTGTGAATGTACATGTTGAAATTAAGTGATCTTCATCTTCAAATTAACAAGAACCAACCTGGGGAACAACGTTGCAAGTTGCAAATAAGAGAAGTGAACTAGAAATCCAACTTCAAGTGATGGATTAATAAATTTGCACCTTTGATATAAACATAATCTTAAATGGAAACACCATCATCAAGTTTGGCAATACCAAAGGACCTATATGCATTAATGTTAAACCAGTTAACAACTTTAATAATCGAGTTAAGTTCATATATCCCAAAAAAGAAACCATCAGCAGAAGGCAGGAAAGAAGCACTCAGAAGTTAATGTCATTCACCACGGTTTTACTACCAGTCCCATGGATTACAGAGAAATAAATGTAGATGGAAACTGAAAACTTAGAAAATTAAGATTATCGAAGTAGATTTTTTTTTTTTTTTTGGCTAAATCAAACAATATGAACAACAGCAATTCACACCAATGCCACCCACAAGATGATACTCAGGACTAAAACAAAAGGGGCTTGGCTATAATAAAAACTGGGAAATTGAGAAACAATTCAGCTGTGAATCATCTCCATGCTTCCAAGGTGAAGAAACTTTGGATAACTAATGTTATTCATGTCAAGCTTGCAAAAGAATTTAGTTAAGGTAGTGAGAACTTTTTTAGGCTAACAAAATTGTGCAGGAGTTGCATGCATGTGACATCCAAGACAATTTTGAGCACAATGACAGATATTTGCCAATAAGTAATCTAATACTCTTACAAAAGAGTATGGGAGAGCACTGTTGGTCATCTTAAACCTAGAATTTCGAGATAGGCAATTGGGTACTTTTTCGAGTTATAATCTATCCTGCAAAAATAAAACAAAACAAATGCTTGCAGCCCACGGAACACTGAGTTTTCCACAAGCATCAGAAGATGGAGTGCTTCTCTTAAGCAAAGCTCATCACTCCCTCACCGGCATTTCTGCAACAGAATAAATATAATTAAGCAACTAAGTTCAAATCCGGAGGATAACAAAAATCACAACATGACATCACCACCCTGGTCAAAACCTCCAACACTGAAACCCCCAATCTTGCAATGCAAGCTTTTAAATGATTCCAGACAGCCTATGAAGAAACATTTAAGACCCATGACCTGAGTTCCTGTGCCTGGCCCATGCCAGAAAGACCATCTGAATGCTCTAGCATATCTGCGAGTCCCAGAATCTAATGTTCAATATTCAGAATTTTCAAGATAGTTAACAGCACAAGTAACTACATGAAACTTACGAGATATAGTAAGAGAACTCATTAAAGCAATGGAATAAAATACCCATTAAGAGCTAAGAATATTGTCAAGAAGAAATCAGACCAAGAAAAAGCCAATGGCATTTGTATTTGCACAATCTAGAGAGGACTGCAACAAGCACAGCTGGACATGGACTCGACACATAAAAAAGAGATGTAGCATAATAAGATCTTGGGACTAAGGAGCAAGTGCAGAGGAATTTATAAAAACAGGAGAGAATGTGTGAGAGCAAATATTTGCAGCACAACTCTCATGACATTCTGCTTGACAATCACTTCTCTTAAAACCACAAAGTGATTATTGAATCCATCTACAAGTCTAAAAGCATGAAATTGTCACCATCGTGTGACAACTGTAGACATCAAATGGCAACAGTCTCCAATCTCCAGCTTTTCTTGCGTATCTTTATAATATGACATCTGGACAGAAAAGTCAAGTAACAACAGATAAAGCCACACAGAGGTTGATCACTCAACATTCAAGAAGGCCATCGGTGAGCATCATTGGACCCCAAGAATAAAGTTAAGTATATTTAAATAATAACTGCACTATCATGAATACTTTATTCACCACATAGATCTAGATTCAAGACAATGAAAGAGGTATATTAACAGTGCAGAGCAAATCCCTATAGAGAGATAACTGCTGTTCCACCTTACTGTACTGTCATCAAACATGGTCGAAACTAACATTCAAAAATGTAAAACCCACCACACAACAGATTCCTCCCCCACACAAAAATTAAAAAAGGGAAGGGGAAGGCTTGTCACTCTAGAAACTCGAATTTTCCAACACGTCACAGGGAACTTAGTAAAAATGAACCACAGATTTCAAGCATTCCAGGGAAAACTGGAAGAAGAATATACAATTAGCCCCAAAACAATGTGGAAAGAGAGACCTCAACATATGGAGAACTCTATGAACTGAATGCTCTGAAATTCCAAAATCAAGAAAAACACTACATTTTGCGAAAAAGACAGAAACCACAATTGGCCTAGAATATAATTTATTTTCTAATTTTGAGACCATCAGAAAACTATCACATCATAGGGGTTTCAAATTACTGGAGATTATTTGTCACTGTGGGTCTTTATTCTCCTTTCAAACTTCTAATTGATTGTCCAATGGATGGTATAAACAACATTTCATCACAGGTGTAGCCATGACAGCCAGTCCTAATGTGATAAGCATTGGGAAATAGTTCTACATTCCAAAATCAAGTTCAGACAGCACGAAAGAAATCCAAATACATGGTAGAATGAAAGCCTTAAAAAATGAGAGGGAAAGAAAAGGAGAGGGAACCAAGTACAAGATGGTGAAAAAAAGATCAAATAAAAGAAAACAAACTTCAAAAATACAGGAGGATAAAGATTTTGATTAATTGAGCAGAACTCTGGAGTAATGGATTGTTGTATTATGGTGAAAGCCACACCGTTAGGAGTTTATGTTATATAAATCGCATAAACTTTTAATAGAAAATAACATTAGTTTTCCACCAAACTCTAAATGATAAAACACAGTTATCTTTTGGTCCAATAGTTGAATACAGGTTAACTTTATGTCTATCTTAATCACAGAAGTGAGTGAGATTTCATCCCAAGTCTCTTGGAATGGTGCCGAGTGACTATCAACTACACTAGGCAGTTTGCACCTACTACTACACCCTTATTGTGCTTGATATCAACCACTGAAAACAATTTCAAAAACCAGTAAATAAACACAGCCACTCAAGGCAGAATTACACTGGAAAAGATGTTATCATCTAAACTGATTCACAGAAACCATCAGAAAAGTTTCCACCAACTCACAGTTATATCAGCCATGAACATAAAGACATGAGGAAGAGCACTAGATAAAAACATGATTAATGAATATAAAAATGCAAGGTACCTGCTTTCTCTGTCCCGTTCCCTTGACTCCCTCTCCTTTTCTCTTTCCTTTTCTCTAAGCTCCCTCTCCCGGCTCTTCTCTCTATCCTTTTCATCCTGATCACTTCTGTGCCTTTCTGATCTACTCCTGCTTCGACGTGACTGCTCTCTTGCCCTCTCCTTCTCTCTCTCCCTCTCCCTTTCACCATCATGGTCATGTTCCCTCCTATCTCGATCACGATCCCTTTCTTTCCCATTTCTCTCTTCCCTGTCTCTGTCCTTACCTCTGTCCCTATCCCTATGTTCCCTGCTACTCCTGTGCCGATCCCTCTCTCCATCTCTAGATTGTGACCGATGATGGGACAAACCCCTTTCTTTACTGCGTTCACGGTCCCTATTCTCATCTCCAGATCTAGATTGCTTTGAACGTCTTCGTTCATCATCACCATCATCCTTATCATCACTCCTACGCCTTGAACTCCGCAGTCGATCCTTTTCCCTGGATTTCACAATATCACCCTCACCATTAGCAGTTTCCCTCACCTTTCGTGGTTCCGGATTCTCAACTGTTTTCTCTAAGTAGTCATATTCATCAAACTCCATTTTCACTATCGTCCAAACAAAAAACAAACAACCTCACAAAAAACGCCTTATTACCACTGCAACCGAAAACAAACAATAATTTAAATTAATTCCATTTCATTAAAAAAAATACTTCCGTTATTTGCACAACTCGCCGATAATTTGAAAAAAAAAATCACACAATTTACAATAACAAATACAATTTCAATAACAAGATTACTTCACATGAGAATATTAGGCTTTGCATTAACTAAGCAAATTAAACCTAATCTAAATCTCCGTAACCCTAAATGAGCACAGTAACAGTACACAACGCCATTTCCAATCCTACGTTAACTTAAAAACGCTCTGCTAGGCTACAGAGAAGCCACAGCAAAGAAATTACTAGCATTCGGATGCCATAAAAGCCGTTTTATTCTAATTTTCCTTCATTTTTTCTCGGAAAGCAAACAGGCCGTTAGGTTTTCTAAAAAGAGACGGAAAAGAAATTATTAAAAAAATGAGGATAATTTGTTACCTGCAAATTAACAGCCGGGAAGAAGTGGAGCGAGAGAGGTGAAGTAAACAAGAGACTTGACGATTTATTTTTATTGAGAACTTGAAGTGAGTGCGTTTCAGCGTCTGTGTGTGATTAAAACGCAGAATTTTTTGGATTTCTGTCTCGCTCTCTCGCGGTTGGGTTATTGCGCAGGAGAGATCGATTTTGAGGTATTTATACTTCAGTCCCTGCATATTTAGAGATGCTCAACTTTGCCGCGTATATTTAACATTTCCCAATAATGATCCTATAATTTCCCGAATGTAAGGAAGCCGATTAGGCCCAGCATGATGAATACTCATTCTATAACCAATCCGAAAAAACCCTTACCCTCCTAGACTAGTGAGAGATGGGCTTCAGCTTACCGTTTTTAGTTTTAGCATTGAAACTTTAAGGGTGATATTAGGAGATTCTTAATTACAGATATTGAAATGGACATTGTGGAATCTAGTGGGGTTACAATATAATCATACTTGAATTCGGCCATACGGGCACCACGTTATTTTTTATTGGGCCGGTCTTTAAATGTAGAGTATAGGCCTCGAAGGTCTGTTTATTGAATTGAAAAACTTAGCCCATGTAATGGTGTTTGCATGGGCTAGGGGAGATGTATTAGTCGAAATAGGATTAGTTTGTCATTGGTTAAATGGGCTATTCTAATAACCCATCATGAATCAAGGTACTTAAAAAAAAAAAAAAAGTAGTTTATTTTTGAAAAAAAGAAGAAGAAGGTTTCATTAAAATAATCGAGACTACCTTGTTTTGATTCTATCTGCCGTTTGTTATTGTCGTGGCTAAAAACCCCCTGCAGCTATAATGATATTGTAAGGGTCTGTAATGGAACGTGTTATAAGTTGATTTTTAAGTTATTTTTCAAAATATATATTAAAATAATATTATTTTATTTTTTAAAATTTTATTTTTGACACTAATATATTAAAAAAATTCAAAAATTCTGGAGATAATTATTTAAAACTAAAACAAAAAAAATCAAAAATATAATTTAACCGCAGTATCAAAAAGATCTAAGAGTTACAAGAACATTTAATAAAGTGTTGTGAAGAAAAGAGTTGGTAGTTTTGGATTTATTAAAACTTTTTTATCATATAACCACCACTGCAACAATAATTAAACTCAATCTAGGTTGAAAATTTAGGTTTTTGGGTTAATTCATGTATTGCTGGGTCAATCTGGGTCTCGTAAAATGGAAAGAAAAAAAATTATTGTCTATTTTTTTTTTTTTAATTCGACCATGGAATTCTCTTTAAAAAAAAAGCAAAAGAACCAACTTTATTAAAAAGTGAAGTGGGTCCCTTTTCTACCAGTTTGAAGGTGGACAAGATTGGCTGCGTGGTTTCAGTTGGAGATGGGGATTGCACGTGTTGTGGTAAATGAATTTGCCAACGATTTGTCGTGTTCTTTTGTAAAAGAATTCCTCGATCGGATATGGAGCGTTTGTTTGATTTAACCGAGTTATAGATCAAATTACTAGTGATATGGGTCTGACTGGGTCGGTAAAAATTAGCTAAAATCAAAATTTGTTTTTGAGTTAGGGTACAGGTCAATGACTTTCCAAATCAACTCATAAAATTGAGTTATATTTTTACTGTTCTATTGTTAAGTAAAAATATTTTCAAGAAAAATAAATTAATAATTTTAATATAATTTATTATTTGATTTACGAGTTTGATATATTTAATTTAATTTTTCAATTTATAGATTTAAGGAGTTTACTATTTAAACTTGGTATGCTTATTTTTAAAAAATTTTATTCTTTAATTTTTTTATTTAATATTTAATTAGTTGAAAAATAAAATTCATGGTTTATTTTTTTATAAGATCTTCATGATATCAAATAAAAGTCTTTTTTAAAATTAAAAATGAAATAAAAATAATTAATAAAAACAATAAAATTATTAAACCCATTAAAATTCTTAATCCAGTCCATAAAATAATCGAGATCGATCATCAAATCTGGCATCATTTTAATATTATAAAATAATTATTATTTTAAAGTTTTTTTTAAAAGTTATATAATATTTTTATTAATCATTGATGTTATTTTTTAAACTAGTTAAATTAAATTATTTTAATTTCAGTTAAATCTCATGTGATTTAATTCAAAACTTAAATTAAATAAAGAATTAAATTTACAGATTTTAAAATTAAACTACCTAATTAAATTTAATAATGCCAATCATTATACTCTTAATAATTTTTATTTTATTCTTTAAAAAAAAGTTCAATCTACAACAAAGCCAGCAAGGAGAATATGCTTTGTTTATATATCTAACCGATTTCATCGCAAGGCATAAAAGCGTTTAAAGACTACCAGATTTTTTTCGCAAAGCTTGATAGCACCCGGATGAATCATGTCTACGATTGCTATTTTTAAATCATCGCCACTCCATTATTAGAAAGGCTATTGCAAGAATTGTGCACTAAATTATTTTTTTATCCAAAAGAATCTACGCACTGCATCATATAATACATTAAAAAAAAAAAAAAGCTGCAAGATTTGAATCATACCTCGGAACCTTTTACTTTTTGTGGGAAATCTGCCATGGGGGTCATCATCCAGCAAACCACTCACCTAAAACGAAATTAATTAATCTAAATCTCTCCCATTATGCCTCAGCCCAGCACCAAAAAGACATGCAGGAGGAAAGAATTCCACAACGAGGCGTTAATCCAGAAATAAAATAGAACGAACTAAAGCAACCTCGTTTGGACCAAAGCCACCGGCTTCTTCGAGCATGCATTGGAAAGGATTGTAGTGGTTACCACAATACAAGATCACCGCATTCTCGTAAAGAAAGTGGAGCTTCCCAGCTCCTTGCAAGTAATCTATGACCATGTTGATCCCGTCAGCTTACTTTTTTGTATTTTTTATTTTTTATCTCAAATTAATATTTTTTATTATTTTAAAATATTTTAATATACTAATATAAAAACAAAAGATACTCTAAAAAATAGTCAGAAACACAGCTTCAAAAACCGTCCAGCTTCACGAGAGAGAGGGTTACCTAGATGCATTGATTAGGTCATTGACAAACAATGATATGATAGGTAAATTAGTTATCCATCGCCATCAAGGTTGAAATATGTGTATAGTAACCTATTTTTAATTCTTAGTGTCATAATTGTGCGCAATACTTTTTGATTGTTCATCAATTCAGGCGATAATCCCCTCTGCCCCATCTAAAAGAAATCCCATTTCTTTCAATGATGTCATTTGACGGGCAAGGGGTGTTAAGAACGAGGAGGAAGTGACAAAAAACTCATCAAATTGAGAAGAGAAACCTGCAAAAGAAAGGATTTATTCTAAATCAGTACCTGCTGAAAAACGCAATCATTGTTGCTTGCAGATAATAACTTATTGCAAACACGTTTATCTACTTGATAGACAATGTCAGGCCTAAAAACAATTATGAAAATAAGTTTTGACGCACTAGATATGAAGTCCAGCAAAAATAAAAATAATGGAAGAATCGGCCATTGGTTTTGGCCTGATTTGAGCAGATCATTTCATAGATCAAATTCTAAAAGAATATCACTTTGTCGATTACCAGACGTTGGATATCTCAGCATTAGGTCTCAGAGTTGTTGCTTTCCTATTTTAGTTATTTTAGTGGTTGATTTTGGATTTTAATTGTTTTTCCTGCATGGCTTTCGATTATTTAGCTAGGTGTGCTCGCAAGACTTAATTATATATAAACATTTGCGGTATTTATTATTACTATTATTCAAACTTTTTATAAAATATTAGGGATTTTTTATATTCATCTGTAGTGTTGTGATTGCATCTTCGATGTCTAAGAACCTTATTTTTAATCCTTGCTATGCACCCTACGTAAATAACATGATATAAATCAAAGAGAAAAGGTTCTCTCTTATCTGGCAAAATAAAATTATTGTTTTTATGTTTTTATCATGTTTTTCAAATCTAGATACTTATTAAAACTTTCATAGTATACATATCCATTCCAAATTTAAAATATCAATCTCTTATAAAAAAATTACTCAAACATAAAATATACATGTCATAATCATTGAGAAAGTTTCACCCGTAACTCTAACCTAGGTCAAGTAAAGAAGGTGAATAAGCAATGCTGAGCTAAGCCCTAAACAAGAATCGTGGACTTTTTAGACTCGTTCTAAGCCTAATTGTTTTTGTGATGGTAATTGATTTTTTTATGTTTTTATATTATTTTAATACATTAATATAAAAAATATTATTTTAATAGATTTTTGTTTTAAAACAATCACTATGCCAAACATTCTAGTTTTGAATGTATTTGGGTAAGAATAAAACTCTTCATGCAGTAGATGTTAAGGTTCTTTCACGTTAATGTGACGTGAAATCGGCCTAAATTTCTCAAGACTTCAACTGAAATTCGGTCCTTTAATTATTGAAATCATGACAGTAAATTGAGGGATGAAACATCTTGTCGAAAATGATGCACACAAGTACCAATGACTAATTCGTGGGAGCATCTTGCTAAATCTTCCTCGTCGGAAAATGACTTCTCACCATGCAAACACCAACCTTAATCTGCCTTCCCCTTAACCCCCGCTCAATTAATCGAAAAGTCATTAATTGACCCCAGAGACCTATAGCAATTCAAAGGAATCATGATTTCAAGAATTAATCCAATTATGCACAAAAAAGAACTTGTCCTCTTGCCTTTTTCTGCAAGTTGAGTTTTTAATTCTATTTTTTTTAATTCTGTCAAAATCCTGTAGTTTCGAATAATTCAGTATAATATCTTTCATGCTCTAATAAACCTTGTCCTTAGAACAATATCGTCGCAAGAATAATCATAAAAAAGAGAATATTATCCTTGAAATTGAAACCATTTTGCACAACACTTGAGAAGAGCTCAGTACTATCAATATACAGTAGAGTTTGAGCCTTGTACTACGACGCTATTATGAAAAATTATCGTTACCGAAGTAACAAGTACTAGCAGGAAAAAAGAAATAACACATAAATACAAATATGTTTTTGAGATAATTTTAAAATGAGTTTTTCTTCTTTAAAGCAAGAAGGACAAGAGCCTTGTCTTTTACGTCGGAATAATCTCTATCCTTGTCTCT